ACCGGCCCTCAGAGGCCACCCCCGCGACGCTCCTGACCCGTCTTTGCGGCATCAAAGGCCCGTGTTAAAGGGCATCTCCGGGGACGGCTGCGTGACGCACACAGCACGGAGCCCCGGCTCCTCCCCGCGCTGCTCGCTGAACCCTCGGCTAAGAATAACCTGCCAGCCTCGCAATTAAGCCCCGAGCACGGCCCAGGGGCTCGTCAGGATGCGGTGGCTCCTCGCCCCGAGGGCCCCTACTCAGAATCACACCAGTTTCCATTTCAAGCTGTTTGTCTGACCCGAGTCAGTCCCCAAAGGCTCCTTCCTCCTTCTGTCTTAAATAAAATCACCCGGGGACACCTCTCGGGATGCCTGGCCACGCACACACTGCCCTCTCGAAATAGAACAGCCTGGCTGCCTGCGAGCCAAGGAGTGAGCACCGCTGGGGAGGGGTCCGGCCAGGCCGGGGCTGGTCACCGACACGCATTTCCTGAGCTCCCGTGGGGACACGTTGGGTGCGCCCGCAGGTCGTGGAGGTTGAACACAGACCTGCCCGGCGCACAAAGCTCCAGCCCCCGGGCAGGGGAAGGTGAGCTGCAACCTGAGAGGTTGGGAAACGGGTGTGTGTCACCCGGGACTGTACCTAAAGGGCTTGTAAGGAAGGCCTGGCTTTCAAGTCCTAGTTCTGCTGCTCATGACCTTGGGCAAGTGACATAAGCTCTTAGTCTCAGTTCTGTTTCTCTGTAGGTGGGAACAGTACCCACCCACCTCCGGGGGGGCATTGCAAGCTTCCAACGCAAAGAATCTGGGCTTCTCTAAGCCGCGAAAGGAAAACAGGCGTCTGCTTAGGGCCCGTCTCCCTCAGCACCTCGGAGGGGACCCTGGGGATGGAGGGGGGAGGGGCTCTGCTCCCAAAGGTGGGGGGAATGATGGTGCTCCCCGAACTTGTCTTGCTGTTCATATTTGGGAGCTGGGTTCTGGGGGCATTCATCACCTTCGGCTCCCGGCTGAGTTAGTCGTCTGAAAAACAGCTTGTTCTTCACCTGACCTCGGGGAGCTGCTGCTAAAAGTGGGGGCAGCCCCGCCGCCGGAGGGACAGGCTCTGCCCTCGGGACTGATGAGTCAGGTGCGAGGCCAGCACCAACATCCGGACTAATTTGTCCCCAGCAGCAGCCGGCTGCCTGCCGTTTCCTCCTCTCCCACCCTTATTTGGAGCCCCTGACAGCTGAGCCGCAAACCCACTGGGCGACTGAGCCGTCACCCTCTGCTTCCCGGCATGGGTCCCACCGCCCAGGAGAAAGAAGCCCCAGGCATCGCTGTGAGATAACCAAGGACTCTTTTTTGCTCTTCTCACACCTTTGAAGTGGGGGCCTCTTGAGGCAAATCAACAAGAATGTGGCTCTTGCAGCCCAGGTTCCCGGGGGGCAGTTGGGGCTGCTCAAGGTGGAGGGGCCGTGAAGAGCTCTGCTGGGCTGATAACTTTAAAAGGGCATCTTCTGCGGGCTCCTCGCTCGGCTGCTTTATCGCCGCAAGTGACAGAATGGGGAGGGTTCTGCCCCTCCTGCGCTCGCCGAGAGCCGGGGGGCTATAAAAAGAGGAGGCGCAGGGCAGCTGGGAGACGGAGCCGAAGGTCGGTGGAAGGGAACCAGAGAGGACAGAGAAGGCAGCAAGCAGCAGGCCCCCCCTCGACCGCCGGCATGGGCTCCTTCCCCACCATCACCGCCGGCCTCTTCTTCTTCTTGGCCGTGCAGCTCCCGGGCCAGGCCCGCGCCAACCCCGTGTACAGCTCTGTGTCCAACGCCGACCTGATGGATTTCAAGGTAGGGGCCGGTCTGGGGCCGGGGGGCTTTGGGGTGCTCTGCCAGTCGGTGACGCCTTTCTTCCCCTGGCTTTCCTTCCACGAAGAATTTGCTGGACCGTTTGGAGGACAAGGTGCCTTTAGAAGAGGAGGTCCTGCCCCCACAAGGACTGAGTGAGCAGAATGAAGAGGCTGGGGCCGCTCTCAGCTCCCTCCCTGAGGTGCCCCCCTGGACCGGGGAGGTCAGCCCAGCCCAGAGAGATGGGGGTGCCCTTGGGCGGGGCCCCTGGGACTCCTCCGACAGATCGGCCCTCCTGAAAAACAAGCTGAGGGCGCTGCTCGCCGCCCCCCGGAGCCTGCGGAGGTCCAGCTGCTTCGGGGGCAGGATGGACAGGATCGGAGCCCAGAGCGGCCTGGGCTGCAACAGCTTCCGGGTAAGAGGAACTGGGGGTGACGCGGGGTGGGGGGGAGGAAGGAAGCTGGGGTTTCACTGACTCTCACGCCTCGTCATAGAACACCTCCAGGGGATGCTCTTGGCAGGAAAGGGACCAGCATAGAAGCTACTCCCTTGGGAGTTTCTGCCCCAACTTGGCGGGTGTCCCGTGACTCTGGGGACAGCGCCATCACCCTTAGCTACAGTTTGTTGAGAGAACGCTGAGAGGAAAATATTACCGCCGTGAGCACCGGGTACTTAACAGGTTCACGGGGCCAAGTCTCCTTCATACGGTTGCCCGGCAGGGGATGTGCCTCCCTGGGACCGTCGGAGCCCAAAGCTCAATTGCAATTGACCAGAACTCACCTTTACGCGTCCAGTGATCAACCTATCAGCTCGTGCGACTCCGAGGGTCGCCAGGCTGACGTGGGGACTGGGGCGGGGGGACCGTGAGCAGAGTCCCACGAAGCCGGCTTTTCCAGCAGAGCCAGGTCGCCAGGCCTAACGCATCCGTCTGTGTTTTCTTCTCAGTACCGAAGATAACGGCCATGCCCCGGCAGACTTGGCGAGACCCTGGTCCCCGGGGGCCTTCCGCTGCCCCTTGTCCCATCTCATCGCCGTCGAGCTGTGACGAGCCCCCTACTCAAGCCGCCCGTCAGCCTTTCTCACGCTTTAGGCTACGTGTAGATACAGCGGCCTCCCCGCGGCTTCCCCGCCGCCTCCCCCGGCCCGCGCCTTCCGCTTTAGGGTCACCCCTCACCTGCTACTCAGAGAGTTTTGAAAAATGAATAAACTTCAGCACCACGGACAGAAGCCGGGGCGCGGGCGTTGGCGTGATTTCTTTCTGTTTCCCGGGGAAAAAGGATTCCGCCGGATACTCCTTCTCGCGGTTACTTTTGCCAGACACAAGGCGGCTCAGTGCCGTTTAAAAATAACGGATACGCTTTGCTTCTAGAGCAATTTGAGGTTCGCAGCAAAGCTGAGCGGAGGGTGGTGCAGGTTTCCCGCAGACCCCCAGCCGCTCGCGCGCCAGGCCTCCCCCGTCGCCAACACCCCCACCGGGTGGTGCATTTGTTAGCTGCTGAGCCCCAGTGGGCACGTGGTTATCACCCAAATCCCACAGTTTACGGAGTTCCCTTTTGGCGTGCATTCTGCGGACTTGGACAAATGCGTTCCTCCTCTCTCCTTCCTCTTTATTAGTATTTTTTTGGGTGGGGATTTGGGACTCAAACTGCAGTTCTCAGCCGGCTCTCTCGCTCCAGCGTCATCACAGGTCCTGAAAACGCCCCAGGAGACCGACAGGGCATTTTGATTTTTAGATTTGCTCACATGCAGGGACCTTATTTGTTAAAAAGAAAACTGAAGCATCTAAGTTTTTCTCTCCCTGGTTACACCTAATGTGGCTTGTATGCAATAGACAGTTTTTGCACACCTAGTGCCTTCTGGTTACAGCTTTTTTTTTTTTTTTTTTAAGGCACATTTAGAAAATGAGCGCACCAACAGGGGTGGGGACGGGATAGAAGGGGCCAATGGGGGAAAAAAGGGGACACCTGTAACACTTTCAACAATAAAGATAAATGTAAAGAAATGAAATAAGGGCACTACATTTTCTCTAGTACACTTAGCTGGGGACGCTTAGCTGCTGCAGCTGAGTCAACGGCACTTTTAAGAAGAGTAGGCGAAGAATTGGGTTTAAAAGCTGAGCAAAGTGAAGATAGAAATGTTTGCTATGCAGACAAACTGCAAGTTCACGCGCCTTCTGGGTACTGACGTGTTTAAAAAATAGCCACGGTCTTTCCCTAACTCAGGCCCAAGGTGCCTGGACTTGTAGCCTTGACTACAGGGGGAGCCCCTGGAGAAGACGCAGTTTCATTGTATCTGCTTCTGAAAAGGTCTCCGAGGTGGAACGACCAGGCACTAAGCCCTCCTGCAGCAGGGAGACGCTCTCTACCCTATTTCCCACGTCACCTCCCCGCGCCCCACTCCCTGGGGCGGCTGCCGTGACCCTCCTCCTACACCCACACGGCCGCTTCTCCGTGCCCGGATTCACGCTGTTCCTTCCGCCTGGAATACCCTTCGTCCAGTGCTCCCAAGAACATCTGCTCATTCTTTCTCAAGGCTCGTTGGGAAATGCCACCTCCTCCGGGAAGCCTTCCCTGATACCACGTGCCCAGTATGAGTTACTCTTCACTGGCAGCCTTGTGTGCATAACTGTTATAACGGGGAGCAGTCTGTCTTGGTAGCCATAGTCTCTGTCCCCGGGTTGCAGGCTCTCCGAGGGTAAATGTCCCTTTCAGCACCCCCGGCGGCACACGGCACAGTCCATGCTCAATAAATGTCGGTCAAATTGTATTGGTATTGTACGGAAATTGGGAAAAGAGGTGATAAGGGAGCGACTGGCTCCATGTAGAGGGACAGGGAAGCCAGGAGTGGGTGGTGGTCAGGGAGTGGAGTCGGGAAGGAACTCTAACCACTTCCAGTAAATACTCCTCGTGTGGGCTCCACACGCGGGAGGGCGAGACACCGAGAAGCAGGCCGAGGACAAGGGTAGAGCGCGGAGTCTGTCCCAGCCTGGCTCCTGAGGTCAGGCGCCGGGGCAGCGGGGGACAGCGGGTTGGCTGAAAGCGCCAAGCGCACAAAAAATGCCCCTGGGGGTTAGGAACCGTGGGGACAGGTGGAGGGGACCGGCTGAGGCCATTCCTGCTGCTGCTGGAATGGCAACTCGAAGCGGATCAGTTAGAGGAAAAGTCACACTGCTGGCAAGACCCGAAGGGAACGAAAAGCAGTGGCACGTGGCACCGACGGGAGCCACAAGGTCTAAACATCCAGACTCGGCATCGGTTTCACGTCCTCTGGTAGGCTCTCAGGGGAACCCGTTTGTGGGGCAAACCCCTAAACACAGTCGGGGATGAAGATGGGCGGTTTCTCCGGCGGGAGAGGCGCAGTGAGCAGACCCGAGTGTCAGCCTGAGGGGGACAGAGGGCGCCTGTGAAGGTAGTGAGGGGGCCCCGGGAGGAGTCTGCTGGGGAAACTGAGGAGCGCTGAGCTATAAACTGCGTTCCAGCTCTGGATTTGCACAGCAGAGGGTGTAAGGTAAACCAAGTGCGCGCTGGAGAGGGAACCGTGCAGACAGAGGCTAACGGAGACGGATGAAGGTGTTTTATTCCGACACGGTAAGGTTGTAACGAGAACTTCCAAGTTCCAAAATTCAAATAAAAATAGGATTTTACAAATTAAAAAAATACAATTTATATACACAGTGGAATTAGCTAACGTTACTGTATAAACAAACAGTGCAAACGGAAAAAAGGAAGCTGCTGCTGTCAGAACGGCCAAGGCCCGCGGGGTGCGGATATCGGAGGCCTTGTCGCCCAGGGCTGTCAGTGCGCAATCTCACATCAGCAGTGTCACCTGGGTGGCTGGATCAAGCAAGCGTCCATTCCAGCCAGGAGCTGCTAGTTAATCAAGGTCACGAGCAAACCATCCCTCAGAGTGCAAAGGCCCCAAAGCCGTGGGGGCTCTTCCCCTCACTCCCCCACTCACTGCAGCCAGGGACCCCGAAACACCACGCTGGAGACAAGACAACCACCTCAAGCCAAGCCCAGAGCCCCTCTGTGTCATCTGTGGATGGACCACATCCCTGGGAGGCCACTGCTGGGGGGACCAGGGGAATGTTGGAAATGCAGGAGCGAGGCGTATTTTGTTACAAGTGGGCAGTGGTTGTCATCGGGCTTATCTGGACAGGACAGCCGTCCCCGGAGGACAGGAAGCGCCTTCCCAGAGTGAGCTCGGGGAGGAAGGCATTGCGTCCTGCTGTCTGTCTCTGGACTACATTGATGGGGACAAATATCTGGTGGCTCACAAGCAACGCGATGGGCGAGGGGTAAATTCTGATGGCATTTACCAGCGGCCTTCGAGATGGGTGGGTGCCTATGACCCAGCCCTNCTGGACAGGACAGCCGTCCCCGGAGGACAGGAAGCGCCTTCCCAGAGTGAGCTCGGGGAGGAAGGCATTGCGTCCTGCTGTCTGTCTCTGGACTACATTGATGGGGACAAATATCTGGTGGCTCACAAGCAACGCGATGGCGCGAGGGCTAAATTCCGATGGCATTTACCAGCGGCCTTCGAGACGGGTGGGTGCCTATGACCCAGCCCCGGACGCGGGCCCCAGCCCCGCCCATCTCTGGGAGGCTGGGAAGGGGGGCGAAGCTGGGGCCACTGGCCTCCGAGAGGAGCGGAGAACGCAGTCACGCCCTGACCGCCGCTCTGAGACGACACGGTCACACGGAGAAGGGCCTGTCTTTTTGGTCCTTGTGATTTCCCCAACGACGCACTGGGGGTTTCATGCCCGCTTCACAAACCCAGTTTACCCAGGGAGCTGAAACACTCAGACCTCCAAGTGCTTCTGGGCAGAGACAAGATAGAAAGGAGGGACCTCGGTCTGTGGGAAAAGACCCTGAAGCGGCCCCTGGCCTAAGAGGGATTATTCACTGAGTGTACTGAGCACACACTCCGCCCGTGGAGCCAGGGCTGACACATCCCCAGCTGGAGGGTCTTGGCATCGAGGTCAACTCGAGGCGGTGAAGGAAGTGGTGCCAGGGCCAGGCATCAAGGCCCGCAGGCAACTTCCAGATTAATACACAAGAAAACTAAACGCAAGCGAATGCCACCCGAGTCCCAAAGCACACCTGCTACAGGGCTGCCTGATGGGCCCAGGATGCTCGTAACACATACAGAGAGCAGAAGGAAGGGGCCAGTAAGAGCAAATGCCCAACGCCGAGGGCACTTCGGGGCCCTGTTCAGAGAGGACCAGCAGCCTGGGGAGAAGCTAAGTCGCCGAAAGGCAGAGGGAGGCTTCCTGGGTCTGATGCTCACACACTGGGGCACGTCCTGGCAGGAAGCACCCCCCTCCCCGCTCCAGGAAGACCCTCCTAAAGTTTCCACTTCTGGGTCCCTCAGCAGGCAGGGGTGGTGGCAGCAGGGAAGTGACGGGTTTGTGAAGGGCGGAAACCCTCCTCCTTGAGCATGTCACCTGTCTCATCACCACACCTGGGTAAGCCACATTGCGCACCTTGCAGTGTCGCTGGCTCAGGACTCACTCCTTTCCATCGTGGAAATAACCGTACCATTCCCCAGAGCCAAGGGGCTTATCTGGGGGGGGAGGGGGGACGGGGATGGGGACGGGACAGGTATGACTGCTTTTAGTTAACTTGGGGGGCTCGGGGGCGGCACCAAGCTCCTCTGGGCTTTACCAGGAAGCTGCAGGCAGGAATGGAAGGGAGGTTTAGTAATTCAGTGGAGGGGAAGGGAGGGGACCGTCAGGTAAAGACGTGTCACCAGGGGACCGTGAGATTCGGGAAGTGGAGAGGAAGCTGAAATGGTAAAAACCAGGGCAGAGGTCAACCTGGCCCGACCATCAGATTTACATTCAGAGAGTGTTAGTGGGGGTTCAATGCTTTGTGCTTCTGGAGGGTTCTAAGGAGACTGAAACCACAGGGGCCAGACCAGAGCGCAGAGCTCACCCCGGAAGCAGGACATCTCCCCTAAGTGAACGGCTGCAGGCGCTGCGCTGGGGGCCCAGCAGGGGAAGGCCTCCCTGCAGCATGGGTCTCTGCTCAGTGCCCAGCTCCTGCACTAGGAATTCACTTCATTTTGCAACTGGTGTTCCCCCAGTGCTTGCATGGTCCCTCGCGTCCTGGTTTAAGGCAGCAGCTGCGCCCCCCCAGGAAAGCAGCAGAGGGGGTAGGAACACTGCTCTCTAGGTGTCACCCTCCACGGTGAGGCCTGACCTCCCTCTCTAGTCTTGGCATTAGTGGGGTGGAGGGGCTGGGGCCTGTGCCAACTCTGGATGGAAGAGCTCGGGGAACAGGAAACGGAAAGATACTTGCTGAGAAAGTAAGACAAGTCCCAACTCTGACGGGTCAAACCACCCCCAGGATCTTGACCAGCAGGGCATTCGATGACTGCAGGCTTTCCAAGCGAGTGTGTGATGGGGATCTGCCATGTCCTGGGGCAGCCCCCACCAGCCACGACAGGGGGGCATGGAGAGCCGCCTCCCCAGGGAGCTCTGGCAGAGGGTGCTGGCCCTCAGATGGTCTGGTAGTGCTGCCGCAGCCGGGCCTGCAGAAACTCGTATGTCAGGTTGTGGCGGGTGATGATCCCAACGATCTAGGATGAGGAGAAAAAGACCCATGTCACCTGAGTCACACCCAGTGGGGTAAGACCATGAGTGGACAGAACTCGCCCCGCCTTCAGCAGAAGTGGAGGAGAGACCAGGTCCTGCACAGTGAGAGCACACACGGCATCAGGACACTCGCTTTAAAGGTCACCGATCTCCAGACGGAAGGAGACGCACAGGTAACTACGGCTCATAAACTGGGGCCAATGGGTTGCAGTCGGGCCGCTAAAATCTGATTTCTCATCTGTGTAAACAGGGCACAGGCTCCAGCTTTCTTAGTCCCTGCCACCCCCAGCCTGCTTCATGTACGTGGACGAGGCAGAGCCCAGGGCACATTCTGATGGCTGTGACCCTACAGCTCGTAAATACCATCTTCAGAACCACTGAGTCGCTGTCATACTGATTTATAATAAGAAATACATATTAGGAATTTCTTAAGTGATAGACTAGCAAGAGTGTCTTTTATTTTTCATGAACCCCTTTCAACCATACCTGAGTTTATGGTGATGATATAACTTTTAGAAAGGCCCTAAGGATGGAGGCTGGTTGCCAGGGGAACCAACAACGTGACTAGAGGATTAGAACTTTCAGCCCCAACCCCCTACCTAGGGTGGCTGGGCTAGAGGCTGAATCATTCACCAATGGCCAATGAAGTTATCAGTCATGTATGTAATGAAGCCTCCACTAAAACCCCTGAATTACAGGGTTCAGGGAATGTCTAGGCTGGTGAACGTGGAAGGTGCTAGGACTGGGGTGGCATACAAGAGGGGGCACGGAAGCTTGGTGTCTCTTCCCACAGACTTTGCCCTACACGTCTCTCCTACCAGGCTGTTCCTGAGCTGCATTCTTTTATAACAAACTGGTAATCTACTCAGTAGATTGTCTTCCTGAGTTCTGTGATCAGGGGCCACGGGAACCCGATTTATCGACAGGTCAGAAGTACAGGTGACAATGGGACTTCCGATTGCACCTGAAGTGGGGGTGGAGGGACAGTCCTGGGGGACTGAGGCCTTGACCTGTGGGATCTGACGCTCTCAGGTAGACAATGTTGGCTGGTGTCCAGAGAACACCAGCTGGTGTGGGGACCCCACATCTGTGACAGATGTGTGCAAGGTGTGAGTGCAGAGGAACAGAGCTTTTCCTAAACAGTCAACTTTCAGTCGCTGCAGTGACTCCCATGTCCCTGACGAAGGTGCCTCGCACCATGAGCTGCTGGAACTGTCAGTGCAGTTGTGTCAAAGATACGATTGGACCCCCTGCATTAACCAGCATCGGAACAAGCTGTGCTGTGCACTTTGACCTCAGAGACGTGTCACTTTCTGGAGGGGGATTTGGTGACATNCCCTGACGAAGGTGCCTCGCACCATGAGCTGCTGGAACTGTCAGTGCAGTTGTGTCAAAGACACGATTGGACCCCCTGCATTAACCAGCATCGGAACAAGCTGTGCTGTGCACTTTGACCTCAGAGACGTGTCACTTTCTGGAGGGGGATTTGGTGACATGTATGAAAAGTCTCTAAAAGGTGATCACTGCAGGAAATTCAAATGCTCCTCAGCAGAGGTCAGTGGGAAAGTGAATGGACAGGCACAGAATGGGTGCTGTCGAGCCCTAAATGCCATCAGTGAGTGTTGCTGCTGTGGGAAGTCACTCTCTCTAGGTTAAGCAAAATACCAGGTATTAAACTATAAGTAGTGATGGCCTTTTCATTAAAACTTGGTATATACAATCTCTATTTATAGATGCAAAGAAAAAGATAAAGCATGTACCTTGAAAAATTAGCATGGCTACCTCTGCAGAGATAAGCGTTTGGTATTTGTTTTTGTTTTTTTGCTTATCTGTATTTTCTTACTTTCCTACAATCAAAGAAAATCGTGTAATAAGGAAAGCATGGAGTTCTAAGAAAAAACGGAAATCTGCAGCAATAATTACTAGGTGTTGTATTTTTTAAAACTCCCAGTATTTTACCTGAAATTCTCTCATTTAGTGTTACAAATGCCCAAGACAGCCAGGGACTGACATCGCCCCCCCACACCCAGCTGCTGCCAGGTCAGCAGGGAGGAGGTGGCCCTGAACTTTCTAGTCCACAGTGCCACTGGCGACATCTGCTGGCCACGCTGGACACAGCATATAAGAAACAGGAGACAACAGGGGGAAGGTGGTGAAGCCACCCTAGGGCCCACTCCCTCCTCACTCCAGGTGGGAGACATTCAGAGGTTTTAGTCTAGAAACTTCCCTGCGGATTCTGACATGTCCTTGGGGGTAAGAAGCCCTGTGGTTAGTGGGTCCCTTCCAGGAGGTGGTGGGTGGTGAGGCTGGCGCAGCTGCAGGCCTGTGGGTCCTCCCTCCTCCCCGGACTCAGACTCACCTCTCCCACAGCATTCACCACCGGCAAGTGCCGCAGCCCCATTGTTCTGAACAGGTTGAAAACTTGGGAGACGCTGGTGTTAGGTGACACAGTAAAGGGTGACGGGTTCATGTACGGGGTGACATCCTGCAGAGAAAAGACAACTCGAGGTACCTGCGGCCGGTTCTGCCCTAACCAGGACAAGACGCAAACCAGCAACAACTAGCAGCAGTCCTCTCCTGGGCCCGACTCTAGGGGACAGCCCTTCTCACCACAATCATCCGTGGGTTCAGTAGGGTCAGGTCCAGGTCGTGGATGTCAGGGTACCGTGGGTAATCCTCAGCCATCTCGGCGTAAGAAAGGCGCGGCTGGCTGGCACTCTGCAATCCCAATGAGACACTGTACTTGCAGGAACTGGCAGGGCCATGTGTAGAGGCCCCTCCCTCTTTCTGTCCATACCTGCCCAGCCACAGCCCCCCAAGAAAGACCTGAGAGTGAGGTTGCGCAGAGCAGAGGCCAGAACAAGTGCTTTGGGGTGAGACACAGTGACCCAGAGCCAGTTCCCAGCCTGTTCCTAGTTGTGTCACCCAGGCAAGTCTCCCAATCCCTCTGAACTTCCCTTTCTTCATTTGTAAAATGGACATGGCCATTCTGAAGTTTAAATGAGAAATGTGCTAACAGTAGCTATGTGGGTTGACTTGTGTCCCCCCAAAAGATAAGTCCAAGTCTAACCCCTGGTGCCTGTGAATGTGGCCTTATTGGAAATCAGGTCTCTGCAGATGTGATCAGGTTTTGAGATGAGGTCACATTGGATTGGGGAGGGTCTTAAATCCAATGACTCTGTCCTTATAGAAAGTGGAGACACACAGAGAGAAGACCAGAGGAAGCAGAGANCTTCCCTGCGGATTCTGACATGTCCTTGGGGGTAAGAAGCCCTGTGGTTAGTGGGTCCCTTCCAGGAGGTGGTGGGTGGTGAGGCTGGCGCAGCTGCAGGCCTGTGGGTCCTCCCTCCTCCCCGGACTCAGACTCACCTCTCCCACAGCATTCACCACTGGCAAGTGCCGCAGCCCCATTGTTCTGAACAGGTTGAAAACTTGGGAGACGCTGGTGTTAGGTGACACAGTAAAGGGTGACGGGTTCATGTACGGGGTGACATCCTGCAGAGAAAAGACAACTCGAGGTACCTGCGGCCGGTTCTGCCCTAACCAGGACAAGACGCAAACCAGCAACAACTAGCAGCAGTCCTCTCCTGGGCCCGACTCTAGGGGACAGCCCTTCTCACCACAATCATCCGTGGGTTCAGTAGGGTCAGGTCCAGGTCGTGGATGTCAGGGTACCGTGGGTAATCCTCAGCCATCTCGGCGTAAGAAAGGCGCGGCTGGCTGGCACTCTGCAATCCCAATGAGACACTGTACTTGCAGGAACTGGCAGGGCCATGTGTAGAGGCCCCTCCCTCTTTCTGTCCATACCTGCCCAGCCACAGCCCCCCAAGAAAGACCTGAGAGTGAGGTTGCGCAGAGCAGAGGCCAGAACAAGTGCTTTGGGGTGAGACACAGTGACCCAGAGCCAGTTCCCAGCCTGTTCCTAGTTGTGTCACCCAGGCAAGTCTCCCAATCCCTCTGAACTTCCCTTTCTTCATCTGTAAAATGGACATGGCCATTCTGAAGTTTAAATGAGAAATGTGCTAACAGTAGCTATGTGGGTTGACTTGTGTCCCCCCAAAAGATAAGTCCAAGTCTAACCCCTGGTGCCTGTGAATGTGGCCTTATTGGAAATCAGGTCTCTGCAGATGTGATCAGGCTTTGAGATGAGGTCACATTGGATTGGGGAGGGTCTTAAATCCAATGACTCTGTCCTTATAGAAAGTGGAGACACACAGAGAGAAGACCAGAGGAAGCAGAGATGGGGTGCTAAGTCTAGGGTCAAGGAGCGCCAAGGACTCCTGGCAACCATCCCACCCTAGAAGGGTAAGGAAGGATCCTCCCCTGGAGCCTCCAGGGACACTGTGGCCCTGCTGACACCTGGACTTCAGTGGCAAACGGAAGCAGCAGCCACAGGAAACTTGGACAACAGCTCTGTTACTGTTCGTACACCTCAGTCTCACTGCTGCTGTCACTGGGCACCTGGGCCACCACCACAAGTGAGACCATAAGTACTGGTGACTGCTCAGCCCCAGTCTTCCTCCCACTCTGACATGTCTTCGTTCACCCCGACTCCGTGCTGCACCCAGCCAGCTCTAGCTGGTTCCNGACTGCTCAGCCCCAGTCTTCCTCCCACTCTGACATGTCTTCGTTCACCCCGACTCCCAGTGCTGCACCCAGCCAGCTCCAGCTGGTTCTNCTGGGCCACCACCACAAGCGAGACCATAAGTACTGGTGACTGCTCAGCCCCAGTCTTCCTCCCACTCTGACATGTCTTCGTTCACCCCGACTCCGTGCTGCACCCAGCCAGCTCTAGCTGGTTCCTGCCTGCAGGCGAGGCCTCTGTAATCTGCCCACTTCACGCCTCCAACTGCCTTGTCCCCTGTGCGCCACTCATCACCCCTACCCCACCCGGCCTGTCCAGTCCTCCACACTGACCACACCCTCAAGACCCCGCCTCTCCATCCCTTGCTCCTCCTGTCTCGCCCCAGGTTGGCTGCTCTTCCGTAGGCCAGTTGGGCCATGAGTGACCTCAGGCTGACCTCCCATGGGCAAGACCTGAACCAGGAGAGCCAGTTTTAAAACTAGGTCGCTACAAAACTTTTTCAGTCTCCTTTCTCAGGCTCCATCTAAAGGAACGAAGTGTGTGAGACTGAGAGGGTCTCAGGTCGCCAGGGACCACTTTGAACAACACGCCTCACCCACTCCTGATTATCGCTAAAAACCAAACAAAAGAAAAAGAAACTACAGGGGAGTTCACGGGAAGAAAGGTTTCTTTTTCTTCTGGTAACACATGTAAGGAAGTTCATGCATACCAGAAACTAAAATGTACAAACCATATTAAAAGCCTGTAGCTGGCAGGACACCTGACAACAGGTGCAGAGACCAAGTGGAGAATGACCGGGGGACTCACGCCTCCTGCAGCAGAGGACCTGGGGGTAGCACGCTGGCATGTCTCCGTGTCCACCTCCTCCCGGAAGTGGAGGGCTATGCTCCCACCCTCGAGCCTTCCAGAATCCCGGTGCGGACAAGAGACACTTACCGACTGGCTCTCGGAATAGCAAACTCCGCGAACCAGCAGGGTGACAAGTTGCGACCGAAGGATCAGGCCGTGAAAGGTCAGAGGGCGGAAGCGTTCCTCCATGGTCCAGTCTTCACTCGGGGACTGGTCAGGGTATAGGTTGGGGTAGGGGGTGTATCTGTTATATAAAAACCAGACGCTGCCTAGTACACCCTCAGCAGGGCTGTGCCTCACCCACGTCCCAACCCACTCCCCAGATTCCCTAAAGTCTCAGGAGCTGCCCAACAACGCCCGGCCAGAGGGCTGACCCGTCCTGAGCCCCTGCGGGCGCTGGCGCCTGTGCGGCGGGAGCGGCTGTGCCCTCACCTCCGCTCCAGCATCTGCTGCAGGAGGTCCTCCTTCTCGGCCGGCTCCTCCGAGGTCCCGTGCTCGTCACACATGTTCCGCAGCTCACTCGACGGGTAGGACTTCATGGACTGGCTGCGCCTGCGCTGCTCGCCCGCTCGGGTGAGGATGCTGGATTTCTGTGGGTGAGGGGGGCACATGACCCAGGTGAGGCAATGGGACTCTCCCTCTGCCTGGATTTCAAACCAGGAGCATCCCAAGGACAGAGAACAGCCAGCTCCGAGGCGGCCTGGTCAGAGGGGCCACTAGCAGGCGCAGAGCACACTGCTCTGGCTCCTTCCCTTCCCTGCAGGTCCCATAGCTTCCAGTGGCTTCTTCTCTCTTAGAGTTCATTTCTGTTGATGGCAACTCTAGAACCCTCCCCTCATACAACCTGCAGGAACCCTGCAGACTGCTGATTAAAAACAAATCTGTCCCTGTGCTAACTGCGCGAACAGACACATCCTGATGGCCTGAGAGTCCGTACTGGCCATCGAGTCTACACTCACTGTCCCACAGAATGGAGACTGCTGATGTTCTGAGAGCCAACCTTAGCCGCCTCATCTGCAAGGTGTGACAAGCACTAGTCAGTGTGAGCACTAAGGAACCACTTGTCGCCTGTCACCTACCTCTCCTCTCGGGCTGCTTTCCTACCTTGAACTTGATGTTGTTACTGATGAGCTGGTTGCCCTTCATGAACTCCTTCTCATTGCCGCGGTTCTCGGTGACCACCGGGAAGGCATGGTGGACCGTGGTGCGCAGGATGCTGACCAGAGACTGGATGCGGGTGTGCGGGTAGACGTAGGTCAGGTTGGGCTCCATGATGTCACTGGCTCTCAGTCTGGGGAGGGAGGGAGGGAAGCCATCCAGACTCAGGCCTGAGCCCACAGCACCCTGGGAGCAAGCCATGATGGGCTGCACTGGCTCTCCCTGCCTGGGCCCCTTGGGTGCCTCTCCTGAACTGCCTCCTCTGCACATGCCCTTCCCCAGGCCTGAAATGCCCTTTCCTCGACTCAGCCCTCAGCTCAACGTGAAAAGTCCTCTCACCACAAACCCCTCCTCTTGTCCAGGGGACTGACTGGCGACCCCCTCCTTGCACTCCATGGCACATTCCCTGTGTAACTACTGAATTGCTAACTACACTATTGGAATTAAAAAAAAGTTGCTTGGGTGCCCCTTTAGACCAGGGATGGCAGCTGCAGCCCAAAAGTCAAGCCCCTGCCTGTCTCGTCTATGCACTGTCTACGCTGCTTCTGTATCATGAGGGCAGAGCTGGGCAACTGACAGAGACCACCTGGCCTGCAAAACTGACGTTTACCATTTGCCCCTTTACAGAAGCTTGCTGACCCCCACATGAGACCACAAGGGCTGTGTGTGGTACCTAGACACAGAAGGCCCAAACCATCGGAGGGCTGATGGACCACTGGGTGATTACAGTATAGGATTTCATTAGGAATGCATGAGACAAGCTAGTTCTCAAACAAGGATTAGCATATCCTTAATTTAAACTTCAGTCTTAACACAGACTTATGCAGAGCCCTTGCTTCCTACTTAACCAGAATACCACAGGAACCAGAAGAAACCCTGCCCCAGCTCCCAGACACACTGAGCTGCTCGATGTTCCCAAACCTGCTTGGGAACAAATGAGCTGGCTGTTTTAATGACCTTCCTGTTATTTACCGTTTCACTTAATTCCAACCCAATAATCTAAGCACTTCCTACCCTCATACAAGAGTCTATAAACCCTGAAACTAGGACATGAAGAGACATCATGGCCTCACTTGTCCATCTCCACCTCTGTCTCCCACTCCAGGAGCGGCACTCCTCGCAGGCCCACGTGAATGTCGTAAATGCCCTTATTGAAAAAGTCCCCTGTCCACTTGGCCACCTGAAATACAGAGTAAAGACTTGAAAGGAGGCTGCTGTGGGATGAACTTGGCCGTGAACTGGGAAGAGGCCTGGAAGGGGAGTGCTCACCATCAGAGTGACCATAATGGGAAGCCCGTAGGTGATCTCATTGGTAGATTCAATAAGGATGACGGTGAGACTGACAGTCATACGCACGACCCCGCCCAAGAAAGCCGCGGCACCAATCAGGGCGAAGGTCCCTGAATAGATATGGCCCAACCCAATGTAGCTGGTGAAGGAAGAAAACGAGACCGTGGCTTAGGATCGCACCGCAGGGCGGGGCAGGGGCTGTGGTTCGCCAGCTCGCAGAGCACACACAAGCATACACACACAGTACCTTTTGAGGACATTGGCCACTAAACGCCCAAAAGCAGCTCCACACAGCAGAGAAGGCACAAAGAGGCCGCTTGGAACAGAAATGCCGTAAGTCCAACAAGCGAGCAAGAAATAGAAGACGAAGAACAAAGCCAAAGTGATGGGGCTGAAGGTACCTGCAAGGCAAGGACAGACCTGAGTCCCACTGCCAGGTGCCTGCCAAGGCCCACCTTGGTTCCTACAAGGCCCTTCCGTACCCCAGCCGGTCCACCTCCAACACTGGGGGCAGAAACGCTAACATGTCTGGGCTGGTATTACAAAGGGAAAGTCCTGTTCTTGCTCAGAATTAAGGGGAAGCCTGGCTGTGTCCAAAGGCCAACAGGGGGCACAGGGATACTTATTTCTTCTATGTAAAAAAAAAAAAACCAACCTGCCAGGAATGGGCAGGCGCACAGGGACTCACCATCCTGGTGGAAGAGCTGGAGGATGGCGGACTCCTGGGGATTGAAGAAGAGTGTGGCCATGTCATTGTAGGTCTCATTGGGACAGAAGAAGGTCTTGACACTTGAATTCACATCTTCTAATGTGACCTAAGAAACCGAAATCAAAGTCAGTACAAGGACAGTAAAGGTCAGTACATCTAACAGGGGCACTTGAACCTCTAAGTGGGAGGTCTCCAGCTACGTCGAAAAAGTTTGGCACCCAAGTTTCCCCTGTAAATTAAACAGGCAGTAAAAAACAGATCTATACCCAAGAGCAGCCAACTGATACTGTATCCCCTGCATTTTGAGAATGAATGAATCAGCACATGGTCCCTCATTCATCCACATTCATAATGAGAATGTACTGCAATTATGATTCACCGTGGGCTGGGTCCTCCCTCTTCTTCCGGTGCTGATTGTGTGTATGATACTATTGGAAGCCTGGCCCGGAGACCCTGTGGACTGGGGGAAGATGAGGCAGGTGACAGACCAGTGGCCGGGAGCTGACAGGTTCGCTGAGGAGCGTCCAGGGTATGGCTGACCTAATGCCCCAACTTTGGATTCAAATAGAAAAAGCCTCCATCCTGAATTAGCTGCAGAAGCAAAACCACTTCCACGTGAGGCCTGATGCAGACACCGTGCTCCTGGCTGCCTTCCCAGGAGGCTGAAAACCCTGACTGGGAAAAGAGATGCTTTCTCCACACGTCAGACCTCTCATTTGCTCCATCATTCAGTGTAGGAAGATGAAATTCTAGTGCTGCCTAACTCATTAGAAAGCAAGGGCTGCCCGGCTGGGCGTGGCTCAGTGGTTGAGCATCGACCTAGGATCCAGGCAATCAGGGTTCGATTCCCAGTCAGGGCACATGCCCGGGTTGTGGGCTCGATCAATGACTCATCATTGATGTTTCTCTCTCTCTCTCCCTCTCCTTTCCTCTCTCTGAAATCAATAAAGATATGTAATACTTTCAACAATAAAGCTTAAGCCTATAAAAAAAAAAAAAAAGAATAAAAAAAAAAAAAAAGAAAGCAAGGGTATCTGGATTATGAAAGCTCTGGTTTTCTACTTGATGGTGTCCGATAGTATGGGGGTGTACTTCACACCTATCGCTGGGCATACAAACAGTGTTATTACAAAGCTCGTTAAGGGGCTGGACTTTTCCTGGACTCAATTCTACTGATAACACTGTAGAGGTGCCCTTATGTGGACACTGTAAATACACTAGGTGATGGGTTTGTATAATCCTACCAGATGAACCTGGCTGGGCAATACACTCAGATGAAGGCTGTCGTAGGAAGTAGGGCAGTGCCCCCTGTTGGTGGAACATGGCAAGGAAGAGCTGGCAAAGGAGAAATGTGTTCAGAACAGTGGCAGGTAGACAAGCTGAGAGGACTGTTACCTGGAGCAGCAATGAGTCATTCCCGATTTGACTCGAAGACATCTGTCGGCATTCTCCTAACACCATCGAGGCCACGAACACCACCACCGTGGTTACCAGAGACACCAAGAGGCTCTCTAAGACTCTAGGAAGCAAAGGGCGGCTGTGATTAGGCGATAAGACGACACCCCAGTCTTGGGACTCAAACGCACAACCCCATGTACCCCCAACCGTCATTTCCCCAAAGAGCATGCACAGTAGCTCCCAGTGGGTCAGCACATGTGCACAATCTGTCAGCGACGTGCTGTGTTCAGCCATTTCTAGGTAAAAAGTGGGCAGCCGTGGACACATCATCTCCCTCTGGGGAACAAAATAACCTTTCATTTCAGGTCCCGGGGTGAAAGTCCCACTGACCCTTCTGACTTTGCCATGTGTCCTAGTGGCAAGTCAGGACAGGCTGGGAGTCAACCAGCAACTCATATAAATGAAGCTCAGATCCAGCCTTTTGGCCTGTGTGACAAATATAGCAGATTTCCGGCCCATCTACGTTCTGTCTTAGATGTGAAATCAGAGCTGGTGTAGGAAGCAGGGTCTGTTCACGTAATCGCCTCCCCGGGGAGAGGTGGCCTGGTCCATACGAAGCTCGGGGAGCTGTGCCAGGCTAGGGGAGGCGGCTGCTCAGGTACCTGACGAGCTTAGGCTTCGGGTGCACGTTTCGCATCCGGTACTTCGCAAGCCTCTTGTTCAGACAGTTGAATGTGGCTCCCAGGAGGCCCCCAATGACCCCCATCACGATGAAGAAACCCAAATCCACAGCTGTCCAGAGGTGACATTTTTTATCAGAATCAGAGCACTGAGAGAAGGGGCAAGAAAGGGAGAGAGGAAAACCATGGNAAGACAGGGAGAGAGGAAAACCATGGTGCCCATGAGAACAGGACGGGGTGGAAGCAGAGGAGACAGACGCAGGATGCGAGGCCGCCTTCTGGCTTCGGGAGCCTGTGCCAGGCGGGGGCCTGCCCACAGCGGGGGGCATGCATAGCAGGCCACGTGGCAGAGCCCACCAGAGGCTGCCCGACCTGCTGGCGGTCTCCAGCGCTTCACTTAGAGTGGTCACCACGGGCCAAGCAAGAAACTGCGGGGAAGGGACAAAACATACCTTGAAGTCGCCGAGGCTCAGCAGTCCCGGGAGCTGGAAGGAGCCCCAGCCCCCAAGCTGAGTCCCAGAACGAAAGAAGCTGAGGGTGAAGGTGGCACACATGGAACAGAAGAGCTAGGGACAGGTGACAAAAACAGAACGCCCAATAGCGGCGAGTCCTACTTTCTCCCTGACCCTCCTCCTAAAACCTGCTGCTCCACCCGGAAACCTGCCAACCCAGGTCTGGAGCAAGGACCCGGTAACCATAGCGGGAAAGGCGCCCCCACATGNAAACCTGCCAACCCAGGTCTGGAGCAAGGACCCGGTAACCATAGCGGGAAAGGTGCCCCCACGTAGACAACTGCACAACAGGCTACAAGCAGCTTTCATTTCAATAGCCTGTTGTGAGAACCTATTTAGAGCAGACGATGCACCAGATCCTGTGCCAAAGAGAAACAGTAAACACAAGAGGAAGAACATGCTACTCTAAGACAGGCAACGGGGGTTCAAGCCTGGGCTCTGCCTGATGACCACGGCCAGTTCCACATTTTCACACCAGGTGGCTCAAGAGAGGACAATGGCAGTTTGATGTGAGGAATGCAAGGGCACGCGTGTGGAAAGTACAGGAAAGTCCGTATTTGGCTGTTATGAGTGTCTAAAGCACAGGACTTTCCAGTATGGTTGACCATGCTGGTCTCGTCAGAACTAGTTTATAGCTGGGGAATGGTTAAGTTTAGGAGGTTCTCATGGAAGGTTGTTCTCACCACTTTCCATGTGAGCCCTTGGTTCCAGAAGGATGAGGCCTCCTCCAGACTGAACAAGGTCCCCCCAATGGGAGCCCCGAAAGCTGCAGCGACACCGGCAGCTGCTCCTGCTGATACAAAGTCCCGCTTGTCTCTGAGGAGAGAAGAGACAGACACTGTATTGGACAAAGAGCCCTTAGGCCGCAAAAGGCAGTTTTCCCTTCCTATCCGCCAACGTTTTATCCCGGGGCCCCGATGTCAGGGCTGGAGGACAGTCTCTGGTGGCGCTGACTGGGCAACAGCTTCCCCTGAGCACCAGACGCTCTCTCCAGCTTGAGTTCCTCCAGGAGGAGGGGTCCCGGTCTCCTCTCAATCTCAGCGCCAGTTCAGTCCTGCTGGGCACACTCGCCCCAGACCTTCCTTCCAAAAAGCCACAGCTTCATGAAAACCTCCAAGTGCTGCTGACATGCAGAGCAGCAGGTACCAGTGACCTGCAGGAATACCAAGCGGGGGAAGGTGCACCACAGCTGTGACCCAGGGCCCGATCCCAAGGGCCTTGTGTGCTAGATAGTTTCACACACACAAGTCCCACAGGGCAAAAGATCCCGAGGAGAGCACCTTCCAACCCAGGAAGGCGGTGACCCAGCACACTGCTCTGGAATATGAAATACCCTCTTGACAGTATGCCTGGAGGCTGTCTCAGTTATGTTTTCCATCTCCACTGCCTGAGATGCTTCCAGGACTCAGGTCACGACAAAGCAGAAGCCACCAGGCCAGCCAGGCCCTTGCTGCTTATTTTCAGGACAGTAGCTTAAAGCCCACCTCCTTTCTGACACCAGCGTTCACACGCAGCCTGCCCAGCAGTGGAGACGACGAGCGGGCTAGAGCGAGGATCAGGTCTGAGGGGCAGTAAGTGAACAGCTCATTGTTTCAAGAGAATCCAATCCGCTCTGGGTGGCATGGCTCAGTTGGTTGGGAGCCGTCCCATCACCAAAAGGTTGCCGGTCTGATTTCTAGTCAGGGCACATGCCCAGGTTGCAGGCAGGAGGCAGCCAATGATATTTCCCTCCGTCTCCCTTCCTCTCTCTAAAAATCAATAAAAAATCTTTAAAAAAAAGGAAATCTAATCCCTATTATCAACAAGGCAAGTAGTAAAAGTGTTGGAGAGGTTGTGGAGAAAAGGGAACCCTCGTTCACTGCTGGTGGGAATGTAAACCGGTAGAGCCACTATGGAAACCAGTAGGGAGGTTCCTCAAAAAATTAAGAGCAGAGTTATGATATGACTCAGCAATCCCTCTTCTGGGTATCTACCCAAAACATTCGAAAACATTTATTTGCAAAGATATATGCACCCCCATGTTCGCTGCCACATTATTCATGGTGGCTAAGACATGGAAACAACCAAAATGTCCTTTGTGGGTGGCTGTATGAAGATGCTGTATGCAGACATACACACGATGGAAGGCCACTGCTCAGCCACAAGAAAAGATGAAACACTGTCATTTATGACAACATGGACTTGGAGAGTATCATGCTAAGCAAAATAAGTCAGTCAGAAAAAGCTAAGAACCGTATGATTTCCCTCATATGTGGGATACAAGACTGAAACTCACAGACACAGACAACAGTAGGTTTGTTACCAGAGGGAGGGGGTGGGGAGTAACAGGTAAAGGGGGCCCAATATATGGTGACAGGCGATGTGACTGTGGGTGGTAGGAGCACAATGTGATAAACAGATCATGTATCATAGAGATCTACACTTGAAACCTATATAATTTTATTAACCAATGTCGCCTGGATTATTTAACTTAAAAAAAGAAAGGGGGAAAAAAAAAAAAAAGAAAGAAAATTCAATTCCTAACCTTTCCATACCTGTCACTTCGGAAATAGGGGAAGTTAATCTGGATCTTCCGGAAGGAGATGCTCTGAAACTAAGACAAGAGGAAACAATGTCAGAGAGGGGCCCACAAGGGCCCCATCTGCAGGAACCCAGGGGAGTCCCCACCTTGAGCACACTTGGGCGGATGTGCTGCAAGAGGGAGAGTCCAGAACAGAGCCTGGGAAAAAAGCAGTGATCTTTGAGAGGCACTTCCTTTCCTGCCCCTAAATTTCTATGATCTTCAGAAACTGCATTTGTACATAGTCAACAAGCCAGAAAGAAAATGGGGAAGGAAACAGCTGAGCGCAGGGCTGGGAGGAAATGAAAGCTGCTGCAGAAGATGAAGTGAGCCCTGCGCAGGGAGTGGCGGTAAGGGCGGGCCAGGAGCCCCCTGCCAACCAGGCACCACATGCTCGCGCTCACCCCATCCCCTCACTCCCGGGAGCCCGGGGCCTGGGTGTGAAGGTGAGGCGGCAGCAAGAGATCGGAAGATGGGCTCTGGACGAGGCAGTCCTCTCGCCTGTGCTTCAACCACTCACTACCAGCCGCTCACGCCCCCAGGATGTGAGAGGGCCACATCCACAGGTGACAGATCGCAAGGAACTGAGCATCTCCAAGCGGCAGCCCGAAAGGATGGGAGCTTCAGAGCCCTGGGCGAGCGCCTCGCCCTATGCTGGGATTAGTCCCCTGCTACCTCAGGTGCCCTCAGCGCAGCCCTGTGCCCGAGCCACCTCAGATGTGCTTCCAGCATCTTGGGACTCAGCAGTGTGGAGCTGACCCATTGAGCCACTTTACACAGAGGTGCTGGGCAATGGCTGTGGGGCCACAGGTGACTTTCATTTGAACAGACTTTATGTCCCATTTCTGCTCCTAGGACTTCATTAAAACTGAGGCACCAGTTACCCCTCTCCCAGGGGACAATTCATGCAGTTTTCTCATCAACCCCAGCTGACATCAGATTCCAAAGTCATGCTCGGGTGCTCCCAATGGGTTTCTTCCAGACTGAATCACAGGACGCCCCTACCCGGGACTCACCCTCCCAACCTACGCACCCTTACCTGAGGGAGGCCAGCGCCCACTACGGCTCCACTGTGGATCATGGGGCCCTCCTTCCCCACAAAGAGCCCTGGGAACAGGTGAAGAAGGGGAGACCATCAGTCAGCATAGAACCGCCTCCAGTTCAGACACCTCTGCTGGGCAGCCCACCGCTTGACAATATAAAACAGTGGTGCTCCTGTGACTAACAGGGGAAGTGAGTCCAATTCCCATCAGGTAAGAGGAAATACTCTAAACTATAACTTGGGCATCGGCAAACTACAGCCTGTAGGCCAAACAGACTCGCTGACACAGCCTAAAATATTAACTATTGGCTGTTTACACAAAAAACTCTCTGGCTTTGCTAAAAGCCATCTCCAGAAACCAACTAGATGGTCTGTCTACTTCCAAACTGAATGGTGAGTCAGTCAGAGAGCTCTGAATGGTGACTTACCTACAGCGTCTGCACTTAAAAGCCAAGCCAAGGACAGAAAGTGCGGAGGTCTGTTTGGGGGCAGGCCCTCTAACCCAAATCTACTTCATTCACATACATAATGCTTCCTGTCATCTTCACCCCTTGAAGACCTGAAGGTAACTACCAGAAAGACCCTCCTTACCTCCGGCTACACTGAACAGCACTCCGAAGGCTTTGCAGAGCAGGGTTCGGAGACGGACAATTCCGGGCACCTTCACGCCATTCAGGTAGCATTTGATCTCGGGTATCCCAGAACCTGCTGCCACGGGCTGGCGGGAGAGTAGGCACAGCCACACGCTCAAACCCACCGGCACTATGGCCTGCCCTCACCGACCTCAATGCAGAGGGACAACGGGCTCTTCACCACCCGCAACATCCCCTGGGGCCCGGGTTTCTGACTCAGTAGGTCTGGGGGGATGGGAAGATGTGCAGTTCTACCAAGTTCCTGGTGACTCGGCATCACCTGGGGAGTCTTTCAGCGATCCGTGTAGGCACCCCACTTCCAGAGACTCTGATCCCATTTGAGGTCCCCAGGGGATCCGTATGTGCTCCCCAAGGTGGAGAGCCACCCTCCAAATCTAGATGTTTACTCTTTAATCTCACCAGGGGTTAAAACCTTCACTTTCAGAAACATTTCTAAGTGAAGGAGAGGCCACTCTCTGCAAGAACCTATGTTCCAAGTATAATTCAGCTCTCTGACCTCCCAGCAATGGTGAAGACGAGTGTAGGACCCAAGACGTCAAAAGCAAAAAGGTAGCACCCACAGCCCTCACCTCTATCAGGACAAGAAGGCTCCCAAAGAAGACGAAGGTCAGGTTGAAACCCAAGAGTTCGAGGAGGGACAGGGCGAGGCACCCTTTCTGGCTGCATTCCTCCACCGCTAGGGAGTGGGTTAAGGAAACGTGTGCTGTATGTTTCTAAAATTAAAATAATGGTGCTGTATTTTAGGTACATACTCCAGCTTCCTTTATTCTCAGTTGACAGTACATTTTTGAGACTTAGCCTTGCTGATACAGTTCTGGTCTGCGTTCATATTAACTTCTGCACAAATTGTATCATATGAACATCACGTGATTTTTCCATTTTCCCGTAACAACCTTTCACAATCACAAAGCTGCAACGAACATCTCTGCACATGTCTGAGAGCCACAGCTGGGAGAGGGAGTCATGAGCTGAGGGAAGGCGCAGCTTCCTATTTATTAAACTTCCATTTCCCTGATCAGCGGCGAGGTGAGCACTTTTCCACAGGTTTATTTATTGGCCATTCAATTTTCCTCTCCTGAGAAGAGCCTGTTCGAACCCTCTGCTAGTTTTCTATTGGGGTGTTTGGGCCTTTTTCTTAGAGTTGTAGCTCTTCCTGTATTCTGGAAAGGAATTATCTTCTCTTAACTGCACAGTGAAAACCTCGCTGAGACTGTAGGTTTTCACTTAGTGTATACTGTTGTTTTGGCTTTTTGTTTGTATAAACAGAATATTGACTTTGATGTGGTCAAGTTTTCTGACCTTTCCCCTTTCACTGTCTGCCTTCTGGGGTTTAAAGAAATGATTCCCTACTCTTACGATCTCTTATTTTACATCTTCAATCTACCGGGAATTAATTCCTAGTACAAAGCAGGAATCTCACTTTGTATTTTTCCANAGAAATGATTCCCTACTCTTACGATCTCTTATTTTACATCTTCAATCTACCGGGAATTAATTCCTAGTACAAAGCAGGATGGATAACCAGCATCTTTTATTAAGTGGCGCATTTCATCCTGACTTATCACACTGGCTCTGTCACTCGCTGTACCTCTGTACCCGTATGGGCTGGTTTCTGTGTCTCCATCATGTCCCATTGTCTAAATGGGTATTCCTGCACCAAGGGGACACTGTTTCAATGACTGTACCTTAAATTATATGTCTTGACATCTATGAGGGCAAGACCCCCTGCTTGTTGTTCAAAACTATCTCAACTACTTTTGGCCCTTTACTCTTCCAAACAAATTTAGGAAGAGAGCTTCCAAGTTCCATGAACTATTCTATCGGCATTTTTATTGGAACAACATTGGATTCATAGGTTGACTGGGAAAAGCAGGCATCTTGGTGGTTTGTGTCTTACCAACCATGAATGTGAGCGTCTCTCTATACATCCTTTTGTGTCTTTCAATGGTAATTAAACACCTTAAAGCCAAACGGCTAATAAATAGCTCTTCACAGATCACGTCCACTGTTACACTCATTTCCAGACAAGACAGCACGATCAGCACCCGCTGAGATCCAGGAGGGCCGAGAGCGGAAAGGATACATGTCTGCACCACTCCAAACTTGAGCTGGGTGAAGAGGCGCACAAAGAAGTCCACGAAGAGACCCACCTGAGGGGAGCAAGGAAGCGTCCGTCACACGGCTTTCCCGGGTGGTACAGGCACTGCCCTCAAAGGCACGGGCGCGCCCCGGCGCTCACCCAGCAGCGGGTGAGTGGGCTTTGGAGAGTGACTCTGGCTCTCCGAAGGCCCCGCTCCACCCTGGCCCCATTGCCCACCGAAGAGCAAAATGGAGGGGTACAGCGATGTTGAGAGGAGGTGAGTAAAACAGAGGGGAAAGGATGCCGGCGAAGATGAGAACAAGGAAGACCAATGTCTTCAGCGACGCGCAGCTACATGAGCACACAGCTTAGATTACTTTGAGGGGAAAAAAATTTTTTTTTAAATTGATTTAGAGTGAGGAAGGGAGAGGGAAAGAGAAGGANTGATTTAGAGTGAGGAAGGGAGAGGGAAAGAGGAGGTGGAGAGAGGGAGGAGAGGGGGGAGAGGAGAGAGAATCATCGACTGGTTGCCTCCCATATGCACCCTGACCAGGGATCGAACCCCCAACCTGGATACGTGCCTTGACTGGGAATTGAATCTGCCACCTTTTGGTGCACAGGACAACGCTTAACCAGCTGAGCCACTCCAGCCAGGGCCAGCTTAGATTACTTTGAATGACAACATTCACTTAGCTGTATGTGGGTTTTGCATGTTGGTTATTTCTATTTTACATAACTCACAATTTTGACTTATAACTGTCTTATACAGTCAATGGTTACCCTGGTAAATAAGACAGAACCACTCACATTCCACTATTCCACTCTCATAAGACGGGCTCTGGGCTTAAAGGAGACCTGGGAAGACTTCTGATTTTGTAGATTCATGATCAAAGGCTTCATGCTTTTAACTCCAGACTTCCCTCAAGCCAATGCCAGAGGCTTTTAAATACCAAAGCAGTAAGTGGTGACAGATCAAAGGACAAGAGAGCCAGGAGCAAGAGGAACCAGTAGCCACATTATAAAGGCAGGCCTGCCTTCCTAAACCATGAGGGTACAAGGTTAAGTTGCTAGTATTGATAAATGGCAGTTCAAAGGAGTTTGATCTGAAAGTGGAAGGAAGACTAACAACTAGATGGCTAGGGACTATGCCTATTGCAGGGAAATTTGCAATCAGAACCATATACAGCAAAATTCACACCCTGAAACTACAATATAACAATTAGATTGGCCCAAGTTGCCCCACACTGGTATCCATCAGAATGTTACTAGAGAGGCCTCTACATGCCATTAGTCTTAACTACTAAGATGTTCCTTGACCTCCAATTTACTACTAGTAAAAATCTGACAAGTGCCATGAAGACAAAACTGAGTGGCCCGTGTGGCTTTACTACACTAAACACATGTTTACATCTTATGGGCATATCATGCAGGCTTAAGTATGAGACTTGTGGTCAAGTCCAGAGAAAGGTGACAAACAGGCTGCTGCTTAGGAAAATATAAGACCCCTATTAAAGACTGAATGATTGTGTTTGTCTCCCACCCCAAATTCATGTTGAAATTCTAGCCCCCAATATGATGGTATTTGGAGGTGGGGCCTTTGGGAGGTGATAAGATCATGAGGGTGGAGCCACCATGAATAAAATTAGTGCCCTTATAGAGACCCAAAGAGGGAAAGGGGATTGGGGAGGGCAGAATAGGTGAAGGGGATTAATTGTATGGTCATAGATGGTAACTAGACTTATAGTAATGAACACTATGTAGTATATACAAATATTGAATTATACTGTAGTATACCTAAAATATATATTGTCTTATATACCAATTTTACCATGATTAAAAAGAGAGAGACCCCAGCCAGAGAGCTCTCTTGTTCCCTTCTGCTATGTGAGGACAGAGCAAAAAGATAGTTATCTATGAACCAGGATGGAGGCCCTCACCAGACACTGATCTACCGGCCCTTGATCTTGAACTTCCAGCCCCCAGAACTGTGGGAAATAAATGTCTGTTGTCTAAGCCATCCAGTCCATGGCATTTTTGTTACAGCTGCCCCATGGACCGAGACAACCCCCTACTCTAACACTGCACTGATGGAGGATCAGATTGGATGTGTACTGCTTGGATTGGCTGCTCACTTTTCCAGCTTTTTGTCTCCAGGTTAACCATGGTAAGTCAGCAGCTATGGGTGGTTCCAGCCCTGTGCTACTATAACCTTTTACAACATTTCATAATCTTTTCTTGTCAGCGATTCATGTGTGAACGTGCTGACCCCAGAACCCAGTGCGTTCAGGCATATTCCTCTGCCCACAACCACCAGCTCTACCTCATAGAAAAAAATGAGCAATGTGCAGGGAAGAGACCCAGGACAGCACAAAAAGTCCACTGAGACCTACGGTGTCCTGCTGACTGGCACGCTGTGCTACAGGCGAGGGTGCACTGTTTACAGTTTTGTTCCCACGACTTTCCTTTTCCCCTACGGTGNTCTATACATCCTTTTGTGTCTTTCAATGGTAATTAAACACCTTAAAGCCAAACGGCTAATAAATAGCTCTTCACAGATCACGTCCACTGTTACACTCATTTCCAGACAAGACAGCACGATCAGCACCCGCTGAGATCCAGGAGGGCCGAGAGCGGAAAGGATACATGTCTGCACCACTCCAAACTTGAGCTGGGTGAAGAGGCGCACAAAGAAGTCCACGAAGAGACCCACCTGAGGGGAGCAAGGAAGCGTCCGTCACACGGCTTTCCCGGGTGGTACAGGCACTGCCCTCAAAGGCACGGGCGCGCCCCGGCGCTCACCCAGCAGCGGGTGAGTGGGCTTTGGAGAGTGACTCTGGCTCTCCGAAGGCCCCGCTCCACCCTGGCCCCATTGCCCACCGAAGAGCAAAATGGAGGGGTACAGCGATGTTGAGAGGAGGTGAGTAAAACAGGGGAAAGGATGCCGGCGAAGATGAGAACAAGGAAGACCAATGTCTTCAGCGACGCGCAGCTACATGAGCACACAGCTTAGATTACTTTGAGGGGAAAAAAATTTTTTTTTAAATTGATTTAGAGTGAGGAAGGGAGAGGGAAAGAGAAGGAGGAGAGAGGGAGGAGAGGGGGGAGAGGAGAGAGAATCATCGACTGGTTGCCTCCCATATGCACCCTGACCAGGGATCGAACCCCCAACCTGGATACGTGCCTTGACTGGGAATTGAATCTGCCACCTTTTGGTGCACAGGACAACGCTTAACCAGCTGAGCCACTCCAGCCAGGGCCAGCTTAGATTACTTTGAATGACAACATTCACTTAGCTGTATGTGGGTTTTGCATGTTGGTTATTTCTATTTTACATAACTCACAATTTTGACTTATAACTGTCTTATACAGTCAATGGTTACCCTGGTAAATAAGACAGAACCACTCACATTCCACTATTCCACTCTCATAAGACGGGCTCTGGGCTTAAAGGAGACCTGGGAAGACTTCTGATTTTGTAGATTCATGATCAAAGGCTTCATGCTTTTAACTCCAGACTTCCCTCAAGCCAATGCCAGAGGCTTTTAAATACCAAAGCAGTAAGTGGTGACAGATCAAAGGACAAGAGAGCCAGGAGCAAGAGGAACCAGTAGCCACATTATAAAGGCAGGCCTGCCTTCCTAAACCATGAGGGTACAAGGTTAAGTTGCTAGTATTGATAAATGGCAGTTCAAAGGAGTTTGATCTGAAAGTGGAAGGAAGACTAACAACTAGATGGCTAGGGACTATGCCTATTGCAGGGAAATTTGCAATCAGAACCATATACAGCAAAATTCACACCCTGAAACTACAATATAACAATTAGATTGGCCCAAGTTGCCCCACACTGGTATCCATCAGAATGTTACTAGAGAGGCCTCTACATGCCATTAGTCTTAACTACTAAGATGTTCCTTGACCTCCAATTTACTACTAGTAAAAATCTGACAAGTGCCATGAAGACAAAACTGAGTGGCCCGTGTGGCTTTATTACACTAAACACATGTTTACATCTTACGGGCATATCATGCAGGCTTAAGTATGAGACTTGTGGTCAAGTCCAGAGAAAGGTGACAAACAGGCTGCTGCTTAGGAAAATATAAGACCCCTATTAAAGACTGAATGATTGTGTTTGTCTCCCACCCCAAATTCATGTTGAAATTCTAGCCCCCAATATGATGGTATTTGGAGGTGGGGCCTTTGGGAGGTGATAAGATCATGAGGGTGGAGCCACCATGAATAAAATTAGTGCCCTTATAGAGACCCAAAGAGGGAAAGGGGATTGGGGAGGGCAGAATAGGTGAAGGGGATTAATTGTATGGTCATAGATGGTAACTAGACTTATAGTAATGAACACTATGTAGTATATACAAATATTGAATTATACTGTAGTATACCTAAAATATATATTGTCTTATATACCAATTTTACCATGATTAAAAAGAGAGAGACCCCAGCCAGAGAGCTCTCTTGTTCCCTTCTGCTATGTGAGGACAGAGCAAAAAGATAGTTATCTATGAACCAGGATGCAGGCCCTCACCAGACACTGATCTACCGGCCCTTGATCTTGAACTTCCAGCCCCCAGAACTGTGGGAAATAAATGTCTGTTGTCTAAGCCATCCAGTCCATGGCATTTTTGTTACAGCTGCCCCATGGACCGAGACAACCCCCTACTCTAACACTGCACTGATGGAGGATCAGATTGGATGTGTACTGCTTGGATTGGCTGCTCACTTTTCCAGCTTTTTGTCTCCAGGTTAACCATGGTAAGTCAGCAGCTATGGGTGGTTCCAGCCCTGTGCTACTATAACCTTTTACAACATTTCATAATCTTTTCTTGTCAGCGATTCATGTGTGAACGTGCTGACCCCAGAACCCAGTGCGTTCAGGCATATTCCTCTGCCCACAACCACCAGCTCTACCTCATAGAAAAAAATGAGCAATGTGCAGGGAAGAGACCCAGGACAGCACAAAAAGTCCACTGAGACCTACGGTGTCCTGCTGACTGGCACGCTGTGCTACAGGCGAGGGTGCACTGTTTACAGTTTTGTTCCCACGACTTTCCTTTTCCCCTACGGTGACCTCAACACCCACTGAGGACTCTCCCTTCCATGTTCTCTATGTGATAGGGTCACNTTCCTTTTCCCCTACGGTGACCTCAACACCCACTGAGGACTCTCCCTTCCATGTTCTCTATGTGATAGGGTCACACCTTATCCTAAGACACAGGGCTTAACCACCTTTGAGTGCTTTAAAGAACACCAGAGCTGCATGGCTCACTTTCTTTTCATAAAGCAAAAGCAAAAGAGAAGCATGAAAAACGCTGTCAGGTTATTAATTAAAAAGAGAAACAGGACAAAAGACAAGGCGGTCCCTGTAATGACAAACAACTTACCTGTCAGGCCAGAGCTTACCCCTGACCCCCTCCACCCCCCATGCCCTTCCTGCTCACCAGACCGGTGCAGACTCCAATGGCAAACACCATCATCCACTTCACTGCCTCGAACCTTCGGCCTTTCTGTTCACACAAGGAAAGAATGACTCAGTTTATTACAGGGTGACGTTGGCTCCAGGGAAGGAACATGCCTTGGCCAGCCAGTTTTAGAGTGACCTTCGCAGGGAGGGTGCTTTACAATGCAAGAATGATGAGTTTAAGAGGCTGGGCTGGGGGAACTCTGGCTGGGGGGAGGAAGGTCAAGGAATAAATGCCAGATCTCATGAAAGGGGTCAAAGGGCAAGGGGTAAAGGTAAAGGAGCTGTCGTGAGACTTCCTCAGCCCCAAGAGATCAGTAAGGGACTCACCTTATTATCCATGGTCTCCAAGACTTCCAGGTAAGGGTCATTGATACAACGATCGTAATCCAAGCTCTGAAAGAGTAAAAAAGTCATAATATGGTATCATATGATCCCATTTTGAGTAACAGATATTAAGCTTATTTGTATGTCAGCATACATGAAGCAGAAACGTCTGGGAAAACTGTTAGCAGTGGTTATCTCTGAGGTGCTATTTTAGGAGGTGTTCACATCTGGGTATTTGAAATTTTCATAGCAAACATGGTATACTTGTTATATCTGAAAAAAAAAACAACCACCCTTTTCTTTTCTGATTATAAAACAAAAAAACCACAGTAAAAAATTCTGCTGGGNTGAAATTTTCATAGCAAACATGGTATACTTGTTATATCTGAAAAAAAAAAAAACAACCACCCTTTTTTTTTCTGATTATAAAACAAAAAAACCACAGTAGAAAATTCTGCTGGGAAACTAGGCTCATTCATGAGTGACTGTATGTATGTCNCTTTTCTGATTATAAAACAAAAAAACCACAGTAAAAAATTCTGCTGGGAAACTAGGCTCATTCATGAGTGACTGTGTGTGTGTGTGTGTGTGTGTGTGTATATATATATATAATTTTTTAATCATGTGAGTGACATCACATTCCAGGAACAAACGGGGAAAAATTAAAATGTTGAAAACTGAATATCCTTCATACCAAATATTTACAGAAATGACTGGCCAATGAATTATTTGCTTGATGGTGTTGTCTAATAACGCTATGACTCCACAAACATTGAAAAGGTTTTCAGAAGTCCAGAAGAGGCAACTTTACAGCGACAGAAAGTTGGCTAGTGGTTGCCCAGGATCAGGGACAAGGGGAATGGGCAGTGACTCTGCTAAGGGGCGAAGGGCTTCCCTCCGAGGTGCTGAAAATGTTCTAAAATTGATTTGGTGAGAGCTGCACAACTCCGAATACGAAACAGACCATTAAATCATACACTTTAAATAGGTAAATTGTATAGTATGTGAATCATATACTAACCCTGACCCTGAATAAAGCTGTTTAAAGGGGCATTTAGAAACAGATGCAATGCCAGAACATCAATCTTTTCTTTCCTGTTTTTAATAAATCAGTTGAGAGCCTAACATTTTGGAAATATGTACTATATAAGATCTATATAATGAACTATATAAGATCTGTTATGAAAATCAGACGCTGTCACTTCTCCTTTGCCATGACTAGCTTCCTTTTATTTCTGCTATATACGCTGCTCTTTGGTTTGGGGGACTAACAACTTAAAAAAAAAATTTTTTTTACAGGTAGCCTATAGGGCTGCTGCTTGTGGTATCTGGCCATGGGGAAGTGGGGGCTAAAATGCAGCCCAAATTCAACCAGGCAGGGTACCTAGTGCTCACCCAAAAAGCACCTTCAGTGGGCCTTGAGCTAGGGATGTTGCTATGGCCCAGAGGGGTAGGCCTTTTATTCTAAGTCCTCTGCTCTGAGGGGTGCCTTTTTCCAACTCGAAAGAGTACGTGGCTCTGGCCAGTGTGTCTCAGTGGCTGGAGCATCATCCCAAGCACCGAAGAGTCCAGGTTCAATCGGTAGCGGTGAGTACGGGAAGCAACTAATTGATGTTCCTCTCTCTCTCTCTTCCCCTCTCTTTCTTTCTCTCTAGAGTCAAAGAAAAATCATATCCTCATGTGAGGATTAAAAAAAAAAAAAAGAGCCTGTGGCCTGCATGAAAACGTTACTGTTTGGTAATGGCACCATCTAACTCCCAATGGGACAGGTAGGGAGTTATCATTCTTCAAACCATCTAAGTGAATGGATGTCAAAAAGGGGATTCTAACACCTTATGCGACCTACAACTTATCAAAGAGTCAAGTATGTGTGATGGACTCTTCCTAAGGCAAGAAGCACATTTTAGAGATTTTCAACAGAAGGGTTTTCTAGGCGAGCCCTAAGAAATACAATCTGAGCAGACTTTTCTGATTTAAGTACCTGGTTAAATTTGCTCTTACACAAAGCAAATGCTCTCAGGAAGCTCTAACACAAAAGATGGCTAATTGAGAAATATTAATGACTCACATAAAAGAACATTAACCCACAAAATTTACATAAATGTGCCTTTCAACTGAAAGCAAATGCACTACAAGCGTAAGAGCAATTCAGTGAAAGGAGTGGAGGGGGCTTGGGAACAGTAGGGTCCATGGCACAGAGGAGTGGCGGTGCTCTCCCAGGACTAGGATGAGGGCTGAGACCGGTCCAGTCACAGTAACACGGTCAGAATGATACCACCAGGTTCAATGATGAGACAATACAACATAGAGCGTCTACACTAATTCCTGCAAACCTCTCAACTATATACAGAAAACAGGTATTTGAAAAATATAGGAAAATACATCAGCAGATACCATGCTTTCCGGTTCATTAAAAGAAGTCCCATCAAAGTAGCACATTAAACTACACCATAGTGAGGCAAGGGGCAAATTCTGGAGTCCTAAAATTATTTTGTCAAGTAAATTTAAAGGGGGAAAAAAAAGAAAAAGATGGAGGAACTTAAAGATAGAAGAGATTTAAAATATGTATCAAACAAATGCAATATGAGGGCCTTATTTGGAGCCTGACTCAAACAACTATTAAGAAATACNNTCTCTCTCTCTCTCTCCCTCTCCCTTCCTCTCTCTGAAATCAACAGATACATTTAAAAAAAAAAAAAGAAATACATATGGCCCTGGCCAATCAGCCCACAGACTGAAGGGTCCCAGGTTCAATTCCGACCAAGGGCACGTATCTTGGTTACAGGCTTGGCCTTGGTCAGTCGGGGCACGTGCAGAAGGCAGCCAACGAATGTGTCTCTCTCACATCGATGTTCTCTCTCTCCCTCCCTCCCCCACCACTTTCTCTGAAAAGCATTGGAAAAAAAATCCTCGGATGAGGGGGGAAAAAAAAAGAAATACATATGACGTTTATAAGACAACTGGAAAATCTGAACACTGGATATTTGATATCAAAGACTATTGCTAATTTCACAAGTGTGAAACTGGTATAATGTTATGCCAGAAAAAAGGTCCTTATCCTCTAGAGATGCACATTGAATTATTTATGGGTGAACTGATGTGAGGTTTAGAATTTTCTTCAAAGCAACATGGGAAGGGGGACAAGGAAAGAGTGATCATAGCCAAGCTAACAAAATTGCTTTAATCAGAATGGGCTGAAACACGAGATTTTATCTCACTGTAAGGAGCCTGAGGACTTATGCTGTGGAACTTTGCAGCTGTACATCAGTGCCTGCGGATGTACGTGTAACTCCTGTAGGTAAGCCTCCGAAGAACTCAGGAAGGAATGTTTAAGCATCCAGACCACCTGACATTTGGAAGATCAATATCACAGACCGACCCAGAAGCTAAGAATGCAGGAATGATTCTTCTTAGGAATGTCCTTTTTACCTGTAAAAACTCTCAACTTTTCTCTTTTCTTCAGAACACTCTGGGTGTTTCTGATTTGCAACTCTTAAGACCCATTAATAAAATGCTGTCATTTAATTCTGGTGAAGCCTCCTGATTCATTTACTCTCAGTGGACAGGCCAGTGGAAGGGAGCAGAGATGAAACAAGGTCAGGCAGGAGCTGAATGACTGCTGAAGCTCTGGGATGAGTACAGGGGGTTTCAATACACTGTTCTGTCCACTTTGGTATATGTTTGAAATTGTCTGTAATAAAAACTTGTGTGTTTTTTTTAATTTCATGCTACATGACAAGTCATAGTAGTTACACCAAATTCTGCAGCAAAAATAAGATAAAATATTAAGAAAATGAACCTGAGTATATTATTGCCCTAGATTATTGAATTCTTAAAGTCTACCTGGTATTTTTTTTAAAAAGCATTAAACATAAACTTCCACTTCTTAGAATTAATCCTAAGGAAACAATTAAGGTTGAACAAGAAAGGATGGTAACCACCATGCAGTTCATCAAATAGAAAAGTCAGATTAAATAAACTGTGACACAATAAAAAAATACTTCCCTATTCAAAATATATTATAGAAAAGTATCTAGTGACAGAAAAGTGATAATCAACTGGGGAGAAAAAGAGGTTAAAACATTTTGTAGAATCTCACTTCTGTTACTTAAAAAAGCATATATGTAAGGGAAAAAAAGGTTAATAAGGTAGTAATAGTCATTTTTTCTTTTTTTAATATGTCTTTACTGATTTCAGAGAGGAAGGGAGAGAGAGAAATATCAACGATGAGAATCATTGATTGGCTGCCTCCTACACACCCCCTGCTGGGGATCAAGTTGGCAACCCCAGCACCTGCTCTGACCGGGAATCCAACAGAGATCTCCAGGATCCTAGGTTGATGATCAACCACTGAGCCACACTGGCCAGGCAGTAATAGTCATCTTTTGATGAGCAAGGTTATTATGGGTTTTTCTCTAGCTTCTTTTTGTAAATAATTTTAAGAATTCACTATCACAAGCATGCCTTTTTTTGTCATGTCAAAACTCATCATGAACTGATTACATTATGTTTCACTCCAGCAGTGTTGGCCTTACCACACACACAAACACACACGCACGCACGCACGCACGCACATGCACACGAGTCCCATATTGAAATCGGGAACTACGCTCAAGAACGTTTCACTGAGAAGCCTCCTGAGCAGAAAACAGTCTTCTGAAAACTAAGCTCTCTCCTAAGAGAGGCAAGGTCTACCGGCCCACACCTGCTATGGGCACACACTTATCAGTGGCTTTGACTCTGGGTCTCTCTGAGCTGTAAAAAGCAAACAGTTTAATGTCAAACACATTCTGTGTCCAGGTTAAATGAAAGCATGGAGACAGCCAGACCTTGTTTTGTGGTTGAGGTGAGAAAAGGGCTTGTTAAACAGCCCCTTTCCCAGAGGGGAGTGACCTCTCAACCGCTTTCTCCCTTGGACAGAAGGTCAGCGAGCAGCCCCGGCTGGGATCCTAATGCTTCTGTCTTGAGGGGCCAGGCCATTCACTGTGTGTTACTCAAGACGGCATCTAGGAATCTCACCTCATAGTCTTTCCTTGGAAGGATCTCCTCCTCCTCCTCTTGCGTTTCTCCAAGGATGGTCTAGAAAAACAGATGCACAGAAGGGAGACCCTTTTAGTGGTTCCCAGTTACAAGGAGGCAGGAGCGTTGACTGAAATCTGCTGCTAGTTTCTAAATCATCTGGAACCACTATCGTCCCTGGGAACAAGACCTCCAAACAACCCCCTTTTGGGACAGAGGGTGATGGGGGGGCGGGGATCCAGTTCAGCTCTTCATTTCCATTGATACATTCCCCAAATAGCCACTCTTGTGTCTTCAGGACACCTCAAAGATGCCCCCTGCCAGCTTCGGGGCGGGGGGATTCAGATGCCATCCGACAAAGCGCCGAATGTGAAATCAGAAGGGACCTGTCAACTCTTGGGGGACACAGCGACTCCAGCGTTCCCAGGGTGCTTTGCAGGGAAAAGCTGGACTGTCAGTGACCCAGAAAGGGGTAGGGACAGAGCGGGAAAGGGCTGGAGACGCGGAGCCAGCTGCTGGGTAAGCACAAGGTCCAGGGAAAGGGCTGATGCCGGGAACGCTTCTTTCATTCAAAACCCCTTTCGGATGGAAATTGAGAAATAAAAAAAGGTATGGGATTCATTGGCGCGGGCCTGGATTCTGACTTCGATTCCAGGGAGCGGTTACGAGAAAAAGACTCCTGGGCACGTGAGGCAGGGAAGATGCTGAGAGAGCCCGGGGCGCGGCCCCCAGGCCCCACGCGCGGCGCCCCGCACGCCCGGCTCGGCCCAGCCCCACCT